GGTTAATTGGTGATCAAATGGACCAGGCCGGGCGTCCGAACTGTTCAAATGAAAACGATGCGTTCGGTACAAAAAAGGAGTATAACAAGACTCAAAATTGAGCTACGTTGCATGATCCCGGCAGCCAGATACATTTAGAAGCTTTTCAGTGTGGAAAATTGGTTTTGATTTTCTGTCGCAGTGGTCAAACTAAATCAGAAGAGCTTGTACGGATAGACAGAGTGAAAGGTTGTTGTTATGACTGACTGTTAGTCCCTCGAATTTCAGATTTTGGTCAAAATTACCCAGGGATAATGATTTTCATAATTTTGGACTGGTGGACCAATAGGAAAGAAAATAATTATTGACTTGAGTGAGCCATCATCCGTTGGGAGTGAAAACCAAAATATTTCCTTGTGAATCACAAACAGAACAAAATTAGAATAACTAACCAAAATTTTGGATTATTCGGAGGCCTTCGCAAAACTATAGAGAAGATACCACATGAATCAAGTACCTTGTGTGCTTTCTGCTATCAAATATTTCTCAAGGGTTTTCTATGAATAAAAAGGGCTGTATACAGAGTATAGGGGAAGACTAAGAACAGCTAGAGGAGCCACGAAGGCCCCTTTTTACTTTACTCTATCTCCTTCTCACACACACGGTGCTGTGAAGAGAAGCCAACTCGAACAGGGATAAAACTGAAACGATAAAGATTGCTGGCAAGAGATCACAGTTATCGGCTTTCAGTAGAAAAACCAAATATTCTTGCCTTACTGTAAACAAAACTTTCTTGCTCTTTGCATGTCCGGTGACTACTTAAGTTTGAACAAAATGGTAACAGGATATGGGAATGGGTGAGCGAAATCAAAAGACGGCAGACTGTGTTCTGTATAAGTATGACAAGACAGCAATTGAAAGCACTCAGAGGATCGTACTTCGTCAAATAGGGGGAGTAAAAGATGTATACACATTGAACAAAAATCTCAGTAAAATTGGAGGCATTGGCATAAGAATTCAAAGATAAATCTCTTCCCTCGAAAAAAATTTAGTGTCTAAGGATGAGGACAAGGTTTGTATGATTAAATGGGAAGTGAAAAAATAATTCAATAAATTTCGATGAGTAAATGCAGTAGTATAAGAGAAAGAAGGAAAAAGAGCGGGCAAAAACAACCGTCATCACAAGAGGATAAAACGTGTACCTAGACAGATTCACTGAATGAGGTTAATCGTCAAGGAGAATTTCTTTACAATGCAACCGAACGGTATTGTTTCAGCGTTATACTGGATTTCGATCGTTAGAAAGTCAAACCTTTACTCTGTTCTCAACAATTACGGACAAAATATACGGTGGGATATCAATATCAAAATTTCAGTTGTGCCGGCTGAAACACCAGAAAAAATAATCAAACTGGAGGATGTGGAAAGTGGTAACTTACCAAGCGAATTGGAGTGCAGGTTGTGGTTTTTAACCAACAGGGTGTAAATAAGTATTTGGAAACTAGCAAATGAGTGGCATCTGAAGAGGAGATCTGGGTCTCGAGCAGAAGGTGGACATGAAACAAAGATCAACTGAGCTAATGTTTGGAGTTAATCTGAGAGATGGAACAATAAGTTTCGCTTTGTGTGGTTGCATTGGTTTCTCTGAAAATCATCAAGTTAGTCAGCCTCATGCATTGACCGGAAGTTATGGAACCAATGATAAATGAAATGATCCAACCAAGTTGGTGGGACCATATTGTCTGATTTGACTTCAAAAGACCCACACAAGGGTTTAATGAAAACCCAGTTAGGTATGACAAAATACCAACTAAAACGGAGTAATTAGATTTGATCGGTGTCATTACTTTCTTATTTTTATTGGCATCGATATGCTGTTTTATTGCTTCATATCCGTTTTTCGTCTGTGATTTGGTGCAGAAAAGCCCTTAAAAAGTTATAACGATTGGCACATTCACAACCCTATAATCTGAAGCTGTGTGGTACCCATCACTGTCAGTCCTAATCCTGTGACTGTCAAAAGGTGATCATAATGCCCCACTTTTTGCTATTGAGTACATGTTCAAGTGGCACACGGCTCACAAAATGCCGCCCACCTCTATTCTCCCTCCACCCATCAAAAAAAACCAAAATCTATGACTAAAAGGTTTCACACCGTCATTTATACTTTCATGTGATAAAGCCTACCGTTATGCGAGCCGAAGCCAAATTTTTTGTGGAGGTCATACAGAGATGTACTTGCTGTTTTCCGACGACCATGCGTTCTTTTAAGTTCGTGTGCTGCTCACCACAGTGAAGGTCGTTTGGTGTGCAACCGGAATGCTAAAACCAAGAAAGTTACACAACCAGATCGGTCAGTATTTCGCTTTTTCATGGCGGTTGGCGATCAAATGGATCGGTCAGTTTAAAAGTGCAACTGGTATCCGAGTCCCAGGGAGGGAGAAATCCAGCAGAGCTCTCGCAAGAGTAGTTAGAGTCCTGTGCGGCAGCTTTGATCAGTAACCTATGACACTATCTAGCATCCGTGCTCATAGTCTCATCAATTCAATGGATGTAAATTTTGATTGAGTAAATGCATTCCGGTTGTCCTATTGATTGAACGTCAACAAAGCGCGTTTATTGTGGTTAATGCGGTCTGCGCGAAGGTGCGACCAATGAGAATCCATCACTTTGACCGATATTTATTTTCGTCAAACAGGTATGATTGTGGAAACATCTTTGAAACTAATAAACGTGATCTGATGGGAGCAACAATCGAACACAACGTAAGTTTGGTACACATCTTGGGGGGGAGGGGGTCATCTGGTAGCAATGCTGGAGCAAACTGCTTGTTCTGCATGGCATCGTCAATCATCAAGTCTACCTAGAAGTCCCTACCCGATGCAACTAGTAACTGTTGAGCACAACTACATCGTGTTTGCAAAACGACGACACGCCTGCAAATCATTCCTTTGTTGTATGCGAGTTTCACGCATACACACAATCTCGATCTCTAAGTCCAATGGAACATTTGCAGGATCAGTTCAGGGGTAAAGTAGCTCAGAGGAGGAAATACGAATCTGTGGGAGGTCAAAAGACTGTTTTGGGAAGGGATGCTACCGTTTGCCACAAAATACTATCGGACGATTGACACAACACAACTGTACGGATAACTATAATTTTCCAAAGTTTGATGTTCTTTCTGACGAACAGTCTAGGAAAAAGTAGAGAATCATGAAACTCATTCTACACTTGGTCTCAAGATCAACGATGAAATTTAGATGAGATTAGCAGAGCCCAGATTTCAAACGGCAGACAGATAAGAAGTTACTAAAGGGAACTGGCGAACTACACAACCGAGTAATCCTTTTGCGGCAAACAAGACAGCGAAGCTGTCTATCAACAGAATGAAATAAAACCTGTTAAAGCTCATGAACAGATTCATCCACTGATTCTGAAATAAAATACCATTCAGAGACCAATAAGGTAATTTGGAGAAACATAAATAAATGAGAGACTTCAAAGTAAATCAATACCCTTGGTTGTTAACGTTCCCATTGACAATGTCTGGCAATGTGCAGAGGCGAGGTTTGCATTGCAGACCCAACCAAATGCTGTTTCGTTTAACCAATACGAGAGATCGAATCGCTGTCGATTAATAGTGATAAGCAATCTAGCCGATTCTAACATTTTTATATTGAATGGCGCAACCACGAATATTAGTGATAATGCATGTCGACCGGTGGGAAGTTAAGAGCGATTGATAGCCTGGGTTGACAAAATTACGAAGTTTAGAGAGTTTCCAACCCAATCTAGGCTATTGCTGAGTTCCGCGAGGTGTGAGGTCCGCGTTATCGCGTAGAGGTAAAATGAGAAACATCCTGATTAGCTGCCCGGTAGTCAACTGAGTAGCATGTTCGCCTTCTAACTCTGAGGTCTCGGTCGATAAATTTTCATTACTGACGAAAACCAAGCAGGTCGAAATAGCCGTTCAGTTCATAATTCATTTGTTCAGTATACGATGAACTTCACCACAGAAGTACCAGCTATTGAGACCTTACAGATTGTAACACACCAAAAACTAACGGTAGACCAATAAATCAGGGTAAAGATGATTAACTATTATGTTATCGGACGAAAATTCAAAGACCCTGGGTATCTGATCCAAAGCCTCTGTTTCTGTGAATTAAAGCATCATTCTTTATAAACCCATTATTGATGACGAGGGCCATGAAACACTGGATCCACTGAGATACTCTCTTAGCCCCTACAGGGCCAAAATGCAACACGAACTGCTCTACTTGTGATTGCATGCACTTGCATAAAACACCCGTGACTATGATAGCCACAAGTAAAAGAAAGCATACATCATGCGACAGCACGCTGAAGCAGTGAGACCGATTTGCAGATAGCAAACATCTGGTTATGTATTCGATCTCAACTGATGGTATGATCCCGGAGAATGTTCCTTTAAAAGGTATTTCTGGCTGACATTATTGCACTATGCAAAGATATGACCATGGTAATCTGGAAAATTAAGCTAGGTTTGCAAGATACCAACAATAAAAGCATACGACGAGTGACTAGATAAAAATTGGTTGTATGTTTAGCAAATAAAGTTATGCGGTATTGGTTCTAACCCTGTGTAAACAATTTCGAAACGCAGTTGAACATGTTACGCCATCAGTAGATGCCAAGCGATCCGGTGTACGTACACATATCCGACAAATGCGATCCCTGTTATCAACGATTAAAACTGGGCCGGATTGCGTCATACGACAACATATTCGTTGGGGGATATCCCCAGGAACTCGGATAAGAAAACCGTTTCGGACACCGGCGTTTTTATGATGCCCTATAATAAACGTGCAGAAAGATGAGAGATGCACACCCATATAACACCACATTCGATGAATATTAGGTTTATCAATTCTCTAAAACCTAGATGTTATTTAAAAACTAATGAATCTGATTTCATTTCCTTCCAAAACCACAGATGAGTACATCCATGCGACCNAACCGGTTCATCACATCAGAATTCCATGTCTCCAACCGCATTGGCTCATTTGGACGAATTGAACTGTTCATCCATGAGCCTAGTTCCCAGTCAACCGGGGATAATGAGCGCGCATTACTTTTGCACTGTGCCCAATTCTGCAACAACTGTCGCTCTGAACACCGGTGAGATTGCAGTACTACACCGCGAAAATGAGGGAAGAATCGTTACGGATAAAACGGGTCAACCGAATCCAATCATCTATGGGTCTGCGAACGGGGATCTGTATGGGTATATGGAAACGCAACCCAGAAAAAGTGTTACGAATCGA